ATGTCTGGAAAGCACATTTCTGTTCACCTGCAACACACATATGTGTTCACCTGGAACCCATATATGCGCTCACTTGGAACAGGCATTTGTGTTCACGTGCGACACTGGTGCAGACCTGGATCACACAAGCATGTTTAACCAGAACAAACTTCTGTGTTGACTTGTAACACACATATGTGTACACATGGAACACACGTGTGTGCACATGTGGAGAAACATGTGCAACACAAATGTGCAACACACATGCGTTCACCTGGACAACAAAAATGTGTTCACATGGAATTTACATTTCCTGCACGCCTGGGCGACACATAAATCAAGTTCCCGAAGCCGGCTGTGAGGCGCTATTCCATGGGGCTCTGCCTTGAACAACGCTTGTGTTTTATATGCGTGTTCCAAGTAGGAAAATAGTGTTCGTGTACGATCAATCTAGCTTTTTTGCAACACATTGCTAGCGCGCGAGCCTGCTGCTGCTGCTGCTGCTACTACTGCTAGTACTATCAGTATCGGATGCGTCTCCAGCAGTTACAGGCTTCAGCTTAGCAAAAGCTTTCCGGCGCATTGCGCTTCTTTCTCGCTTAGCTGCACAGTGTCTTTCGTATCGATTGCTAAAGTGCTTTGATCGTATTGTGGCAACTCTTCGTATCGATTCAGTAAAGCATTTGCTTTCGCAGGGAAATACGCAACCCAATTCTTCCGTATGCTCGGTACAAGGCATCCCTGCCGTCTTGCCTCAGCCGTTGTTTCTCCCCTTTGTCCAGCAAATCGCACTCCATGATAATTGCATGCGAGGAGAGCGGAAGCAAATTTGGATTGAAGCGTAACTGGGAACCGGTCACAGCTGACCACTGCGCTAGCGCCTTGCTAGCGCGCGGCTAGCGCGGGTTCGCCGTATTTTTTGGAGTCACGGCGACCATCTGTGTGGATTTGACAAATTAAGGCCACGTAAGATGAAGGTAAACGTGCGGGCTGGCTTCAAGTACTAAGTAAGAACTGCAACATTACACCCTTGAAAGCCACGCAAAGCCCATCGCGGCAACCCACGCGCCAACTCTTGGAAACCAAGATCACCGAAGACCCTAGCGCAAACCAAGCGCCATCCTAGCGCCTCCAGTGGGGAGCGGGCAATCCATTGGTATTTGCAGGACTCCGCTTTGTGTGAATGAAAAACTGCACAAAGTGACTGCGACGGTGGCCTCTGTAGACTAAACCCCCTTACTAGGAATTTTGACCGGATCGCATATGTGTTTTATCAGAACAATCGCATGCTTTCACCTGGAACACAAACATGTGCTGACGTGGAACACACTCATGTGGTCACATGCAAAAAGTGCGTGTTCACTTGGAACGCGCCGATGTGGTCAGCTGGAACACACCAAGAACACACAATCATTTACTTGAAGCACTCGTACGTGCATCCGCAGCATGCTGCCTGTGGCTTGATCAAGCGCACGCGCGCGCTCAAACACACGTTTCTGAGCCTCAAACACACATGCGTGCCCGCGGAATACACCGCGAATGACCAGGGAGCCGTGCCAGGCATCCAGGCTGGGGGACAACAAGAAGGAGACAAAGGGAGACAAATGAACCCGTCCGCCCGGAGAGCCGTGCCAGACATCCAAGCTGGGAGACAAACGAATCCGTCCACCCAGAGAGCCGTGACAGGCATCCAGGCTGGGAGACAACCGGGGCCAAATAAAGGGAGACAAAGGGAGACAAATGAATCTGTCAGGCAAATGAAGGGAGAGGAACCCGTCCGCCGGGAGAGCCGGGACAACCCCAGGTGCCAAGAGCACCACTGGGTATCTCGGCGTAGGTTCGTTGAACATCATCAAAGAATCGATAGACGATTTAACTCCAGCGTGATTCACGTTTGTTTCACCGGGGGGTTAACAGAGCCTTCTCGTAGCTGAAGCCGTGCACCGCAGCGCACCGCTCTCGTCAGCTCGGGACTCCAAATGCGAGCAAGGACAGAGAGAGGCCGCAACTGATAACGAGGCACTGAACGAACAGACAGGGTGTAGCCAACGATAGACAAGGAAGACGACCCACCACGAGCCCAAGCAAAATCGAAGTCCAGATGAAGGGCAGACAGAGGACCCTGTCCCCAACATCCACAAGACAAGGAATGACCGAAGCCAGGGCCGAAGCCGAAGGCAAACCAGACCCCGCCAAAAGGACAGAACCGCGGGAAGTGAAGGAAACCGCGGAGCGTGAGTGCCACACATCCAGGCTGGGAGACAACGGGAGACAAATGAATCCGTCCACCCAGAGGGGCATCCAGGCTGGGAGACAACGGGAGACAAACAAAGGGAGACAAAGGGAGACAAATGAATCCGTCCACCCAGAGAGGCATCCAGGCTGGGAGACAACGGGAGACAAATAAAGGGAGACAAAGGGAGACAAATCAATCCGTCCACCCACAGAGATGGGAGACAAATGAAGGGGAACCAAGGGAGACAAGTGAATCCGTCCGCCTGGAGAGCCGTGACAGACATCCAGGCTGGGAGACAAGGGGAGCCAAATGAAGGGAGACAAAGGGAGACAAGTGAAACTGTCCACCCAAAGAGCCGTGCCAGGCATCCAGGCTGGGAGACAACGGGGGACAAATGAAGGGAGACAAAGGGAGACAAGTGAATCTGTCCGCCTGGAGAGCCGTGCCAGACATCCAGGCTGGGAGACAACGGGAGACAAATGAAGGGAAACAAAGCCCAGAGAGCCGTGCCAGACAAATGAAGGGAGACAAAGGGAGACAAATGAACCCGTCCACCCAGAGAGCCGTGCCAGGCATCCAGGCTGGGAGGCAACGGGAGACAAATGAAGGGAGACAAAGGGTGACAAATGAACCCGTCCACCCAGAGAGCCGTGCCAGGCATCCAGGCTGGGAGACAACGGGAGACAAATGAAGGGAGACAAAGGGAGACAAATGAACCCCTCCACCCCAGAGAGCCGTGACAGGCGTCCAGGCTGGGAGACAACCGGGGCCAAATAAAGGGAGACAAAGGGAGACAAATGAATCCGTCAGGCAAATGGAGGGAGAGGGAGACAAATGAACCCGTCCGCCGGGAGAGCCGGGACAACCCCAGGTGCCAAGAGCACCACTGGGTATCTCAGCGTAAGGTTCGTTGAACATCCTCGAAGAATCGATAGAGGATTTAACTCCAGCGTGATTCACGTTTGTTTCACCGGGGGGTTAACAGAGCCTTCTCGTAGCTGAAGCCGCGCACCGCAGCGCACCGCTATCGTCAGCTCGGGACCGCAACTGATAACGAGGCACTGAACGAACAGACAGGGTGTAGCCAACGATAGACAAGGAAGACGACCCACCACGAGCCCAAGCGAAATCGAAGTCCAGATGAAGGGCAGACAGAGGAGGACCCTGTCCCCAACATCCACAAGACAAGGAATGACCGAAGCCAGGGCCAAAGCCGAAGGCAAACCAGACCCCGCCAAAAGGACAGAACCGCGGGAAGTGAAGGAAACCGCGGAGCGTGAGTGCCACACATCCAGGCTGGGAGACAACGGGAGACAAATGAATCCGTCCACCCAGAGAGCCGTGCCAGGCATCCAGGCTGGGAGACAACGGGAGACAAATAAAGGGAGACAAAGGGAAACAAATGAATCCGTCCACCCACAGAGATGGGAGACAAATGAAGGGGAACCAAGGGAGACAAGTGAATCCGTCCGCCTGGAGAGCCGTGACAGACCTCCACACTGGGAGACAACAGGAGCCAAATGAAGGGAGACAAAGGGAGAAAAGTCAATCTGTCCACCAAAAAAACAGTGCCAGGCATCCAGGCTGAGAGACAACGGGAGACAAATGAAGGGAAACAAAGGGGTGCCAGACATCCTGGGAGACAAAGGTAGACAAATGAACCCGTCCACCCAGAGAGCCGCGCCAGGCATCCAGGCTGGGAGACAACGGGAGACAAATGAAGGGAGACAAAGGGAGACAAATGAACCCGTCCACCCAGAGAGCCGTGCCAGGCATCCAGGCTGGGAGACAACGGGAGAAATCAAGGGAGACAAAGGGAGACAAATGAACCCGTCCACCCAGAGAGCCGTGCCAGGCATCCAGGCTGGGAGAGAACGGGAGACAAATGAACCACACCGTGAGAGCCGAGACAAGACAAATGAAGGGAGACAAAGGGAGACAAGTGAATCTGTCCACCCAGGCATCCAGGCTGGGAGACAACGGGAGACAAATGAAGGGAGACAAAGGGAGACAAATGAACCCGAGCCGCGCCAGGCATCCAGGCTGGGAGACAAATGAAGGGAGACAAAGGGAGACAAATGAACCCGTCCACCCAGAGAGCCGTGCCAGGCATCCAGGCTGGGAGACAACAAGAGACAAATGAAGGGAGACAAAGGGAGACAAATGAACCCGTCCACCCAGAGAGCCGTGCCAGGCATCCAGGCTGGGAGACAACGGGAGACAAATGACAAAGGGAGACAAATGAACCCGTCCACCCAGACTGGATCATCCAGGCTGGGAGACAACGGGAGACAAATGAAGGGAGACAAAGGGAGACAAGTGAACCCAGGGAGACAAACGAACGCGTCCACCCAGAGAGCCGTGCCAGGCATCCAGGCGGGGAGACAACGGGAGACAAATGAAGGGAGACACAGGGAGACAAATGAACCCGTCCACCCAGAGAGCTGTGCCAGGCATCCAGGCTAGGGCTTGGCAACAGGCGAGCCAACTTAAATGAATTTAGAACCCCTCACAGTAAACTGTTTGGGGAAAAAAGGTAGTGTTCTCGTTGGGTTTGCGTCCAGGTGCCATCCAAAAGGCGAGTTTCACCAGCCAGGACAATCTGGCCAGGGAAATTTTGGCCCACAAAAATGAGGTGGCCCAGAGAATAATCTTCAGACTCCACCTAAACAAAAGTACCATATGGGTGTGTCTCGAAAAGAGGTCCCCCACATGAAGAAAACACACAAAACGGCCTCTGTTCCCCCAATTTCCCCCTCTCGTTGCTTGGGATCTAGGGCTTCCTCTACACCCCGGCAAAAAGTCGCAGTTTCTCCAGTTGCCGCAGCCAGGCTTTCTCAAGATCTCCTCTCTCGTTTCCAGTGGCTCGACGCGACCAAAAGCGAGAGACTGCAGCCTGCCTGATGAGCAGGTAGATCAACGCCAGCACAAACCTCAGCAACTTTGGGAGAAAAAAGCACATGGATGCTTGGATGTGCTTTGCCAAGCTAGCAAGTGGTTAGGCACTTGGGGCATAACAAGGTTAACCCCACAGTCATGAACACTTACAAGTGGGTAACCTAGGTTGCCGTTACAAACTTTCTAACTTGGCAATGAACATCCAAGTGGATGCCAGTCTCGCGAGTTTATGTGGCCATGAGTCAAAAGCCCCTACCGCCAGGGAACATCCCTAACAATACTAAAATGGTGCACCTACCCCAAAATGATACCTTTGCTTTTGACTCACAGCCATGTGTCCGGCTAGGATCTCTTGGCTTTCAGCGCGAGTTGCGCAGAAGCGGCGCAGAAGCGACCGGCTTGGGCAGGATTTCGTTGAAGCGGAGAACCAAAAGAAAGGCGCGAACAAGGGACTAGTATAAGAATGGGTGTGGGTCAAACATCGGGTAACCCAAAACGGGTTGCACTGAAAACTGGAAGGGCTAAAACCAGCGGTCCAATTCCTTGTGGCACAATTTTTGACCCATCCCGTAATTACCCAAATCTGGCTTGCACAACCTGCCTCTTGAAAAGGCGGGAGGATCCGGATCGGATGGGTTTGGGTTGAAGGGTCTCCGGGCACTGCCAGCATGGTGATGATGAAGATGTGGTTCTCGAAGAAAAACCTCACAGCTCTTCCCAGTCGCACTCCCTGCTTTGACATCCCATTCAATCTTGGTACGGCTGAACCCCAGGTGGCTGTGGTTCAAAAATAGGGTAACCCCCAAATGGAACCCTGGAAAGTGCCATGGACCAAAACCTGCGGTCCCCTGGTGGTGTAATTTTGACCCATACCCAGGTGTTGCCTGATCTGCCGCAAAAGGACAAACCGCGTGGCGCCTCTTCAGTGTCTGGGCCCTCTGGAAAGCAATGCAACAATTCTCTGCCGTCTTTCGAGCTTCCGGCAATTGATATTGGTGGAATTAGTGGAATTGGTGGGTTGCAAGAAATGGTGGAATAATATTGGCCCTTTGGCCCTGAACATGCCATTCAAGCTTGATACTTCGCCCGAACCCCAGGTCCCGGCTGATCTGGCAATGTCAAATTGGGAATTCGGCCCCTTTTGTGGACACAGGGATTTCTGTCCAACCACTTCCCAATTCCTCCATTTGTGTTTTTGTCCTTGGGAAAAAATAGAAAATATTTGCGTTTTTGTCCCCTGGAAACAAAACAACACAATATTTCCAGTAGTGAAATCGATTCCCTTTAAGACCAACAGGGGAAAAAACAACAACAACAAGGGACAATAACACCAACAAATATTTATTAAACCAACAGGGAAAACAAAAACACATCTTCATTTCAGCAAATGGAAGAAACCGGCGGCCACGAGACAGGGCACCTTAAGGTGTTGACTTTAGACACGGCTCCGAAAGCAGAAAAAAGGTGGGCTGCTGCCAGCACCGTCCAACGATAGATTCTTAAACCATCCAACCACCCCCCCCCCTAACCGCCGGCAAACGAGCATTAGAATTCAATCCTCTGGTGCCCTTTTTCGTGGTATATCCTATCAACCCTCGGTTTGGGGTGGTTTCGGGGTGGAAGCCACGGAGATTCAAGACTTTTGTTTTGAAGCGTCTACCCAAAGCCAGCACTCGAAGGACACTTCTCGCAGCGATTTCTCTGGTCTACCTCCTTCTGGTGTCCGTACGGAATTGGACGAAGGTGAGTTTACCCAGTTCCATCTATAGGTACCCAAAAAAACCGCTCTTCAGGAATGCTAAGGGTTACCAGTGATAACTGGGATGCACAGGTAGAAGAAAGCATGGAACCCACTGCTTAAACAACCGCCTGCTTCCCTCCAATGGTTTGGATTGGCCACCAACTAAGGGGTACCTGAAGCAATGAATGAACTGGAAAAACAGACTAAAACAAACTGAACGACAAAGGAGCAGCTTGCAAGCTTTAGACCATCCACTATGACATGGATGAGTGCACTATTCTAAGGGTTGATTCCCCATTCTTTCCAACCATCGTTCTTTTGGAAAACCTGATCCGTTTTCCCTGGGTTTCCGGAGATTCCGGAGGTTTTCTGGAAAGATCCGGATCCCTGGAAAGAATGGAAATGGAAGGTAGCCCCAGAACTATCGCTTAAGGAACCTTGCTGGGCCTTGGTTTCAACGAAAATCTCCGCGGTGCCTGTAGAAGCGTAGACGCTGGATCTGAGCTGAAAAGATCACGTCCGCCTCGGAGTCTCACAGTTTTGTAGCCCCCTTGGGGTTAATTGGAGGGTGGGGCACGTTTCCCGGCGGTCCATGACACCCTAGGATTCAACCCCCATTAAAAGAAAGGCCAGGACCCACTTTAGATGATGACAATCCTGAGGAAAACAATGGCGGTTATATGACCCCCCCACTGTGTTTTTGTTTTTATGGTGGTTTGAACCCCAGGGTGAGACTGAATCACTTTTCAATGGTCGTTCGAGTATCAAGCAAAGATCCTGGTTGCACAGAGAGGGAAAACACTCCACTTTGACACCAGGCCCCGGACATCACCAGTAAATGGGCAAGTATTGACTCACTTGGCCAGTGACCAGCCAAACAAGTGTACAGTTTTTGGGCCACCACTAGGGAAAAGGGAAAGTCACCAAGGAAAAAAGTGTAGAGTGTGTCCACTGGCTGGGTGAGTTGAACATCACTGAGCAATACTGAACATCACAGAAAATCACGAACATCGACTCCGAATTCATCAACCCCTGTTCATTCATGTGGGGTGTTGTTTTCTCCAAGAGTGGGTCTGAACCCACAATATTTTCTTTGGGGTTGATTCATCCGAAGCTCCCATTCAACAAGCACACGTGTTCTCCAAAACACACATTTTTCTTTTCTGGGGTTGCCACATCCAGGGTTCCCATTTAACAAAAACCCATTCTCAACCCCCAACTGAAACAAACAACACACCCCATCTATGTTCTGGGGTTGACCACTCTGGGCTGTCAGATCCGCTCCCAAAAGCTTCACTGGTGGGTGAAATGGAAACCCCCACTAAACCCACGTCCAAGAAGCTAAGGACCCGGATGGCTGGGAACCACCAAGTCATGTGGGGACCTCGCCGTTGAACAAACACCGTTTTCTTGTTTCTCAGACCCGTGGCCACGGGAAAAAAAGGGGCATCCTTTTATCCTTTTTTGGCTTGACTTTAAAGGAACCGGAACCCTTCCCCAACAAAAAACGATGGAGAAAAAAAGGGCACCACTGGGCAACTGGGGTTTGCAATGACCCTCTTCTGCCACTGGCTACACCTAGGGTTTCGCAATTTTTCCGCCTCGGTGAGCCGAGCGTAGTCGTTGAACACGGTCTGCGAGAACTGCACCAAGGCCTGGCGGGCTCGGGGGAGGTTCCCCCCCCCCAAACAAAACAAAGAAGATGTGGTCCAAAAAACAAAACAAAGAAGTAGAAGTGGTTTTCCGGTGGAATCCCCTTGAAAAGCAACCAAGCAAAGGGGTATCACTCTGAAAACAGAGGAGCCACCCTTGGCCCACGGAAACCAGGCATTTAACTCCAAGCTCACCCGAAACGTCTTCGGTGTTCCTTTTGGTTCCCTTTAAAGACTACCAAGAAAGGGTTACCCCTTAAAGAAGGACACAGCATCACACATCCATTTGGATATCCCCGGCTTTCCCCTGCTCCCATCCATCCATCCATCAGCTACCTCACAAAATGTTCAGCGTTTCGAGCGAGCGGCAGCGAGATGGAATCCCCAAATCCAGCTCGCGGTGCAACGGGTATTCTCGGTAGTTTCTGCTCCCCTGCTAAAAGTTTAATCTCTGGTGGTTTAATAGTTGGCAACACGTTAAAGTCCTAATATCCACTCAAAATGCACCTCTGTATTGCGTGCGATCGGCAACCGTTTGGTTACCCACTGTTCTTCGACCCCGTGTAGGGGCGAAAACCAAAGTGGGCAACCGCAGACTTGGCCAAAGATCCAAGGGGCCTAAAGCCTTGTTTGGCCATGGGATCCCGTACCCCCAGTGAACATCCGAATCCCCACTAAAATAGGTTCTAAAATGGGTGGTGCACCGAAAACCCCCAAAATGGTACCCAGCCATAGGTTTTGGGGGTCAAAAGCCTGGGATTCAGAGCGATTCAGCCATCCCAGGTTAAAAATGATCAAGTTTGCCAATTCACAGTAGGCGTCTCGGCTTGAGTTGGCCCTTTTCAAACATGGCTTGGTGCATGCTGAAGCGTTTCCGAAAGGAAAGTGGTGTGGTCGTCGTCTTCAGAGTTAGTATCCGCTTCTTGGAAGGTGTTTCAAAGGTAATCAACAGGAACAAACACTCATGTCGCGGCGTCTTCCTTTTCGGAGCTACTTTTTTTGATTGGGTTGCATACGGCAAACCAAAAGGAAAACAAACCATTGGTTTATTGCCCCTTAGTTTCAAGGCAATCCCTGCCACTCTTTTGTTTGTGGATTTTAGACAGAAAGCGGAAGGGAGCCACACACCCACGTAGTGGGTCTATTTTGAGACAACTTGTTATGGAGTTGGAGAGCCCTAAGCTGGCGTGAAGACAGAAACCCGAAAGCCAACAGGGCCCAGAACAGCGCCAGGGTTGAAATGGAATCCACGAATCTGTGGTACAACAAAAAGGGCCTCCCAATTTCGTTCAACCCCGTATTTTTTAGAGGGGACTTCAACTTGTATCACAGAAGTGGTTGGACAAACCCGGAGAACCCTGACAACAAAAATCATGCCCACAGCGCCGCTGTGGAAACCAATAGCATCTCCACGTTGAAGAGGATGCTGTTCAGCGGAGTGTTTTGAGGACCTTGGCCGATGTCTCCGTCTGAATGCTTAAAGGCACACCGGTGCCCGGCGCGAGAAAAAGCCAACAAGCCTCATGCAAGTTTAGTGGCGAGCGGCTTTAAAGGCTGCGGTTGCCTAGCTCCTGCAGTAGAGACGCTAGAACAAGGGTACGCTTTTTCTGCAGTCTAATTTAGTAGGGGAACCCTCCCCAAAAAAAGGTAGAAGGGCACCACTGGGCGACCTAGTTGCTTTCCCTTGAAACCAACATGGGGTTCCATCAACTCGGGGCATTGATCTGCTCCAAGACAAGTTGCAACAGCCTCACGGCAAAAGGCGTGAAAGGAACCATATGGCGAACCGAGAACCGTCCCGCAGCCATGGGACGCCGTTTTTGCGTTGGTTTTACCCTCCAACCAACATTTTCATGGAACCTGACAGGGTCCTGCAAGGCCATCTTCCTTTAGGGACCGGGTCCCGCACGTCAGGTTCCATGCTACTTGGTGGGAGGGTAAAACGGGAACGCTCCAGGCCCCAAAAGGGCAACAGGGCGCTGGCAATTCAGAAGCTATGTCAACCTGAAGCGACTTTCAGCGCCCAGCGCATGGGGTGGATGCTGATGAGGAAGGCCACCTCGTGGCCAAAGCCAGCGACAGCTTAGACATTCGCCACGGTCGAGATATGTCTGTGGGTCAAAAATATGTACCCAAGATGGAACCCTGGTAAGTGGAAACATAAGCCAAAACCTGCGGTCCAATTCCTGGTGGTGTAATTTTTGACCCATACCCATATGCTGCCGCTAGGGACATGAGACAAGAAGGTAAGTCCCATGACAAATTGTGCGCACCCCCCATGCGCCTCCCAGTTCGGGGTTCCTTGAAGAATACCTCCATTTGCTTCAGCCCCCTGCCAGAATATATATAATTAATATAATTATATATTTCCAGTAGTGATAGACTCCCTTTAAAATCAACAGGGGAAAATAAATAAAACAAAATATTCATTTCCCCAACTGGAAGAACACGTTGATCAAAACCAGCTGCTTCACAAGCGGATCCTCTAAACAGTAAGGCCTGGACTGGCCCAAGGTAGGGCCGCGGCTTCTGTCGTTTTCTGCCCAATCTCAACGAGCCGCCCAGTGCAATGGGGCTTCATGCTAGGGCTCCTCGAAAACGGCCAAAACCTAAACTCCAGCGAAATCCAACCAAGAAATCCAACCCAGAAATCCAACCAACAAGTTCACCCCAAACCCAGCAAATCCACCCCCAAAACACCCCCAATTCGACTCGTGTATAAATCGCCGCCGCGGCGCGCGCATGCCGAACTTGGTGCAGCCCTTGACCTTCGGACGCGCTACTCCAAGCTGCGACTGGAGCCCAACTGAAAGTGGGACTGCCACACTGCCACCGGCTGGGTTTCAAAACCAAAGAAACTCGAGCTACAGAATCACACGTCGAGTTGACCATCTCTCCAAGAGCAACTTCAGGGACTGACCAAAAAGGGGTTGCATGGGACGAGTGCATCTCCCACACTGACAAAACAGTTCCCTTGGCTATGAGAGGAATATCGGATTAGTACGGGAGGTCTCTCATCAAGGAGTTCCCCTTTTTGGGTGGGTCACCGAAGTTGTTCTTGATGTCTTAAAGCGAAAGCGCAGCATGCAAGGATAATCTAGGGCTGCTGCCACACAAATGAGCAGGTAAAAGATAAAGCATGCCTCAGATCTCTGATAGATCGGCAGCTTGTGTCGCAGCTAACTGGTCAACACCACTGCCTCAGAGTTTCAACAAAAACCGAGCATTGAAATTCATGTCCCACCTTTCGAGGGAACTCTTTAGTTGCATTGGTGTTGACCCGCGGCCATTTTCTGCCGGAGACAACTTCGGCCATTTTTGGAGGCACAGGGTGCAGTCCGAGAGGCATACACCGCCACGCCCAAAGGGTAGAACCTCAGAGCGAAGGTGGAAGGCGCCGACAATTCGCCTGTGCCAAAAAAATAACTAGGATTCTGGTGCAAAAGAATGTGAGAGGTACCATGAGTGGATTCCTGATCTGTCTTTCGAAAATGGCCTCTTGCCACAGCACACATAAACGCAAATCCACGGACACAAACACAACCACTTCAATGGACATCTCCTACCTCAACACACAGACACACACTGATACAAACACAGGAACCACACGAACACATGCACGCAACACAATGCTCACTTGCCCCTGAGTGGCCCGCCCAGATTCTTCGCACAGCGCAAACAAGCTATTCAGGAAGGGCGGACCAGCCTGCGCCGATGCCCAGTGACACCGATATGTCCCCATTTTTTTTGCGGAGGACATCCTGGGCAAGCCACCTACCCCGAAATGGTACCATTGGTTTTGAGCCCCAGCTGACATGGGACTGACCCTTGCTCATGCCAACTTCCTTGCCTGTGCCCTGCACCAGCCTGGAAGTAGATGGCACACTTGCCTTTCTGTCACTTTGCTTTGTTGCTGTTGGCCCCTCCGCAAAAAGTTTAACTTTTTGTGGGTTTAGTGCAAAACCCCTTGATTTCCCAGAAAGTTAAAGTCTAAAGATCCAACCCAATAGCAGTCAAGTTAGTAGGGACTCACCCAGAATGGGTCACAAGTCCCAGCAGCCCCGCCTGCCCGGTCAGCTGTGGCACCAGCACCTGATTCCAGGCCATGGCGAATCTCAAAAGCTCAGTTGCTTTCTGCTCCCCTGCTTAAAGTTTAACTTTTAGTGCTTTAATGGAAACCCCATTTGTTGTCAAAAAGTCAAAGTCCTAACATCCAAGCAAAATGCACCAAAGAAAAGGTGCTGAAGCCACCTCACAGGGGGAACCAGGGTCCTCCAATGGCTTCGGAATCGACAAAGTGCTTGGGTGCCGGGCCAAATTTGGGTATGGGTCAAAATGAAGCAACTAGGAGACCGCAGGTTTGAGTCCATGTGTCCATTTACCAGGGTTCCATTTTGGGTACCGATTGTTGACCCACAGCCATTTGGCTTCCTCTTCACACCAGCCAACCGGGGCTTCCCCAACAACACCCCCAGCCCCAAGATCTTCTTTCCCCACCAGCTGGGCCCCGAGCGCACAGCACAATCTGCAGGACCCAAGCCTTCCGTCGTCAACCGCAGCTTGTGAACTTGGTTGACGTTGGAAGGGAAGCAAAGATTCAAATGTTGGCATAAACATGTAAAAGGTTTCCCAACAACCATGTGAATCGGAGCCTACTGCCAGTACGGCCCCATGTCCCTGAGCCAGAGCTCTGGCTTGAGGGCAAGTGAAACCCAAAAACCTGAAGCGAGGGGCTGGGGGCCCGTCCGAAAGGTGATGTGACTCCCCACTCTCTTGTAGAGAAATAAGCCACCAGCTGCACTACCCGGCAGATAGATGGCACAATTCGGACGTATATTTTTAGGTAGATGGCACAACTGCAAACAACAGTCCACCTTTCTGTCTTGGACCTGCCATGTGGAAAAGGAGCCACTCTTCGGTAGAGAAAAGAGCAACCACCCTAAGGGGCTCCGATATGTATCCTTGGCTCAGATTCCGATCTGTTCGATTGGGTCCCCGTACCACACCTCGAGTTGGGAAACAAAAGGTCAAAGGGGCCCAGAGGGTCCAAGTACCTCCTGAGGATGGCTTTTGGGGGGTAAAAAAGGGTCTAAGTACCTCCTTAGAAGGTACTTGGACCCTCTGAGTATATTGAGTTGCCCCAAAATCCATCGATCGGACTTTGGGCAATCGGTATCCCCAGACCCGGAACCTGGAGCCGAATTTCCGGAATCCCTGAAAGCTGCCCCAACCACCCTATCTGGGCAGAGACTTCATAGCTTTCAGCTGCTAGGGACAAAAAGAAGCCCCCCTCCTCCAAGACAAAAGGAAGCCAACTGAAGGCCATGTCTTACTTCTGCAAATGACATCGCTGCACCTAGTCTTTAAACTAGAACCTCCCACTGCAATTTCCCCTTCTTCAACGACCAATGGCTTACTACGTGGGCGCAAAAGACCGCTGCAAAGGGGAATACGGCAACTTCAACAAGGAACTTCTCCAAAATGGACGGACACAAGTCCCCCTGTAAATTATGCCCACCAAAGGGTTCCTAGTTAACATTCACACCGACATAGTCAGCACTGTTCTAGGGGACACTTCCCCATTCTTTCCAGGGATCCTTCTTTCCAGAAAGGCATCAGAACCCCACAAGAAACAGCGGGTTAATTCAAAAGAACGATGGTTGAAAGGAATGGACAAGGAATGAACCCCCAGAACTACTAACATGCCCAACTTGAGGGGTTCTGGTTCTCGAGAGCAGGCCGAAAGAACCCAAGGCGCGGACCAGCGACATCAACGCGAAGACCACGCCGCAGCACAGCTTCAGTACAGCAACCACCAGGCCTGAGTGCGGCGGAAAGACTCTGTGGCTCAGTTGCAACACCTTGAGTTACAAATTACATGTCGGCCGCCCTTTCAATAAGGGATCTATATCGGGGGTAGAAAGTTGAGCTGAGAATGTCTTGGCGAACATCACTTTCATGCGGATCAATCAGCACCTTTTCGGACACTCATTCCGTTACTGCCATGGTCAAAAGCCATAGCGAACTTCATGCTTCAAATCTGGGTCGAAAGTGAAATCCTCCAAAATGCTCTCTAAATGTGTGTCTTTTGTAGGAAACTCGCCAAAAACTGCGGCTTGCTTGTGGCGTCCCTTTGAATCAATCCACCCACATTGGCGGACAAATTGAAACCCCACGTTGATGGACCCCATTGAGAACCCGTCCAAAATCACGACCTCAAATAACCCTGATCTCTGAGTTCAAAAAGAAGCATCCATGTCTTTTAGCCCGCAACCCACGCCGGGCACCACGTCTTCTTGTCGTATTCCATTTTGTTTCGCATGGCCAGAACTCGGAGAAAGCCGCCCGAGGAGTCCCAAGCGAACGGATCAGCTTCCGTTCCCGTGACGAGGCCAGCGGCTCTCGCCCTTGTTGAACTTGGAGACTTGGATCTTCTCAAACTCCTCGCGAACAGATCTGCAACGAGCAACACATCGAAGCCCCCGAGCGAAGTTAACCCGTCCAAAAAGGGAGGACGATGTTGTTCCCTCAAGTGATGAACCAACTGGACACCCGACTAATTCATCAAGGGGTTTATGAATCCAAGTTTCCATTAAGAAGGGAAAGGGTCCTGCATCCAAGGACTGCTGTTTGGACAGTGGCGTTTGGTGGACATTGGGAAAAAGCCCCTCGTTTCAAAAGGCCGCCCGACCATTTTCGATTGTAAGAGGGCTGCTAAGAACATAAGTAGCCATGCGGGTCCTACCGTGGATGGAGGCAATCCATTTCGCACCACCTTGAAGCCATGGTTAAAACCATACCGTTTATTGGCATTTACCACGGGAATCGCATCATTCCAGGTTTCTTAGATGGTGCGAAGTGGATATCGTCCATCCACGGTATCCCCAGCCCCTGAACCTCTGGAGCCCTCCCTGGCTGCTCCGCAGCACCCCAGAGCTTACTTGGGCGAAGACCCCAAAGCCTTCAGCGGGAAAAGCGAGAGACAACTTGACTTCCTGGGAACAACTGGCTTCTTAGATGCCCAGTGGCCATAGGAAAAAAGGGTACCCTAATTTTGGTTGGTTGACTTCAAAGGGACATCCTTCCCCCAAAAAACGGAAAAACAGGGCGCCACTGGGCGACTGGGGGTGTGACTGCTTTGGCTCAACTGACCCCCGAAATCATCGATCACAGCGTGCAGTTGAGAATTGTCATTCTCCAAAAGAGTGACGTGTGCTTAAAGGCAAACTAAACAGCCACCAACAAAAGCCATGTGATCCCCTGCACACACAACCGTTGAACATAAGGGAGCTTGTCTCCGGAGGATTTCCCGAGATGGCTGTGTTCTCTCCGCATGGCTTCCCCATAAAATACCCAGTACAAAGGGTATCCTTAGAAACCCGGCACATGTTGGGTGATCCGACATAGGTTCTAACAAATGAGTTCGGATGCCACACACATTGTTTGGTGCCAGCTTCGGAACACGTTGCTGGCAACCTGCTCAACAAGTTCGCTGAACACTCACAAAGTCTGCTTTTTCGCACAGTCCTCTTCCAACAACAGCACGTCGCATCTGAAGCGATTGTAATCTGTGCGAACCTGGTGCAGATGAAGAGGGTTATAATGAAAACCTGGTGCATCTAAAAGGAGCGTGTGTTATCTGGGCTGCCCTCCGATCCTCGGATTCCCTGCGAAAAGTGAGCTTCTTTGAGTGGGTTTAATGGAAACTAGCACCAAGAGCAAAAACCTGCGGACCGCCAAGTCAATCAGGGGCTCCTCTGAAATGGCGTGTTGTTTCTTTTGATTCCCAAAAGGGTCTATACCCATGTAAAGCACCCAACGTGCGAATGTTCGCAAGTGTTCATTGCAAGACTGTCCTCCACTGGTCTTCACTGTGGGGCTTGATTGTGCGGGTACTCACCGAGAAACGGAGGCCACCACTTTGGCTACTTGCCAATTGCAGGACCACAGGCAAGCAGGTAAACAATATATACGAGTACGTTGCGGGTCTCCAAGGTTCGCAAAACACCCAATTTCATCTTCTTATTTGGTGAGTTTTGGAGCGGTAAGATTCACTGCGCAAAGTGAGTCGACTTCAACATCGTCAACATGCTTGGGAGCCTACGAATTGACCGACCCAACTCTGCCCAGTTGAAATAGAAAGAAGCGTGCAACAAACGATTCGAGCGATCGGCATACAAGCCATAATATCATTCAAATGTCAAATGGCCATGGGTCAAAATCCCTTAACCACAGTGAACATCCCAATCCCCACTACAATAGACTAAAATGGGTGGTGAATTCACCTACCAACCAAAATGGGATCCCAAAACGGTTTTGACAACCACAGCCAAATCCCACTGAGACCACCAGGAGATCACCCTGCTGCATTTGAATCTGACTCTGAAAATACAAAAACTGCCGCGTGAAAATACGCCTTCCCTCTTCACCGGCAGAAAGCTGGACATGCACAAGTTGCCGAAGGCATCCCACTTGGCTGCATATACATGTATATATATAGAGGCTTAGGTATGCATATACAAACAGTTACACTTGAATACATATAAATACGTACATGTATATACACATGTGCATATGTATGTGTATATATATATACATATGTTTATATACATATATATATATATATACATATGTATATAACTATGTCCATATGGGTGCCTCGCAATTCGACGGCTTCCAGGTTTTCTGCAGGGGAGTACATATACGTATACAAATATTGGCATACTACTGAGAATGGTATTATTTATCCTTCACCACCTAAGAAACCTGGAATGATGATTCCCGTGTAAATACCGATAAACGGTATGGTTTCAGCCATGGTTTCATTTGGTGGTGCGAAATGGATTTCGCAACCATCCACGGTATGGGTCCGTACCATGCGCCGAAAGCGGACCCGCGCTAAATCTGCCTGGCGTAGCGCGCGGCCGCTCTGCCAGCTGCTCCACATACTCCGCTTGCCTTGCGGGCAAGCGAAGGCCGGGCCGTGGTTGAGGGCGCTTAGGGGAGGGAAAGGGGGAAAAGATCTTAGGGGGGGAAACATCTGGAGGGGGAAAGGGGAATAGATCTGAAGGGGGGGCAAAGCAGGCCTGTATGTCCGCGGTCTGAGCCGGAGGCGTTAAACTTTTTGTTGACACAAGTGGTCAAAAACATGGCCCCCATGTTGAACCCCGGTTGCGCCATCGTGTTCTGGAGAGACACCTGACATCCACAACTCCAATTTAAACCAAGGGGCACGATACCGCACCATGTGCCCTGAGCACGAATCTATTCGGAACATGTTGGTGGCGTCATTGGAATTGTATGTCCACAAACCGTTTTGAGGGGTTCCTTCTCAAAATTCAGGGTCAACATCAAGAAAGTTTTGGGCTTACGCTGGTAAACATCAAATTCAGGGGAAGAGACACACACCTGCCTTCCCAGATTTCTGGGCAAATGGGTATCTGTCAAAATGAAACTACCAATGAACCGCAGGTTATAGTCGGTACCTATGCTTGACCCACAGCAGCCAAATCAACAAAGTTACCGGCAACAAGGGCCCCAGCCAATGGCCTGCCTCGTTTCACCCTTTCGGATTGATCACGTCAAGGAAACCGGTTCGAAGCCCAGCGAACCAAAAAGGGCACGTTCAATCCAAGTTGCCAAGCCACTTGGCTTGGAAAACTGGATGCAGAACACATCATATGCCTATGGCCTTCATAACTAGGTCCTCCAGAGAGATTAGAATAAGTTGCCCCCCAATAGGGGTAAAAGGGCACGATGGGACCAGCATTATAGGCATAGCCACTAGTCGCCTTTCTTCTCCTCGCCCTCGGCGTCGCGGGTTTGAAGCTCCTCCGCCCTCTGCAACCTCGAGCATTCCAGCGGGCGAAGCGGGCGAACCGGGCGCTCGGCGCTTCTCTGCTTCATACCCTATCCGATCGATGGATTTTGGGGCAACTCAAAATAGGTCCTTTTGACAGCCCTATAGCAACTCGGGGCCTGGTACGGGGACCGGGCCCCGGGTGCTGCACACCAAGCCCCAGGAGCCTTAGAGTATGTTTGAAGAAAATACGACTTCGCTTTGGAGAGAAACTATGATTGACCACACAATGTGAGTTTGAACATGTTGCTTCTTACTTTTCTGGACCGTCCTCTTTCAGATCCGCAGCTATAAGTGACAAACTTTTAGAGAGTTAAATGGACAACCAACCACTAGACCGACTAAAACGCTAAAGAGCTAAGGAACCGGATGGCTGGGAGCCACCAAGTTGTGACGACCGTTTTGGATGAGACCCCAGGAATGATCATGTGTGCCTCTTAGCATGTGGGAGTTCCTACAGCTGTAGTGGGTTGATCTCTTTTATGCTCCCCAAAAGAGTGAAACAGAGTTGTCTCAACATCCAATCCGAAGTCTCCACTACAACAAAATACAAGGGCTTCAACTTATAAATTGCCAAAGATGATCTACTTCATCTACTTCTAGCCATGGGGAAAACAATCACCCTCTTCTTTGGCGGCTGGGTCATAGAATCTTTTTCCGCGAGTTCCGCTCGCGACAAATGTTGTGCTCCTGAGATCCGCGCAGGACCCCCGCAGCCAAGCCGACCTGAGAAACCCAAGGAGCACAAGCCAAGGGTTCCTTAGTTTCCAAGGCCCCCAGCAAAAGAAAGCAATGCAAGGACCCAATTTGGATGACAATCCTTAGGAGAACGATGGTGGATGACCCCCCATTGGTTTAATGGTGGGAACTGAACCCCACACCCAATGTTTGTTTCTCTACCTTCGGGGTCCCTTTCCCAAGAACACGCCAAGCAAACCAGCCCGCCGAAAAATGAAGAAGTGGCGTCCTTTCCCCTTCAAACTGGCTCGCAAGCAAAATATGGGTCGCCTCAAAAACGTGGACGCTTATGGAGCATCATCTTTTCGGGAAAAAGGAGGAGCAACCCTGTCAAAGCGCTGGGTCTTTGCCATGGACTGAAGTTCAGGGCCCCCAGTGAAGGAATGGCTCCGACACACGAAGCCAAGCGAAGGAAGCGCTGCAATCACAGGCAATGGCCAAAAAATGTTCAGTTCGGGGAGCGATACCCGGAAAGACAGCAGCTCAGCAGCCTGCAAGATCGGCACTCTCTCTCAGGTCCCAGCCAATTTCCGTCGTTGTTGGTAGGCGGCTTCGCTCTGGCAATGTCCCCCGCATTTTCGCGGTGATGTCGGGGACGACTTCGAAAGCCAACAAGACTACAACCCTTCACTAACATAGCACCTGTGGGAGGGTGCCTGGAAGATAATTTTCCTCTTCAATCGAGCCTCTGTCAGGTGCCATGCCAAGGTGGGTGTGAGGCTAGGCGTCCTTTTAGGCAAAACAATGGCACCACTCGGATGTGTTTCTTTCGCTGCAAATCCAAGGCCTCAGGGTTCCCAGGCCGAAAAAAGTAGGTACGTTTCAAGAAGTGAGTGGAGGCCCAAAAAGGCTTGAGCTTCTCTTCCACTCGGATCTTGCCAAAAGACTGCCGGGCTGGTCTTTCACCCCCAATCCCTGCAACAAGTGATCTTGTCGCTAGTCAGGCAACGCCGGGAATGGGATCCTGATGTTCAAATATCAGCCCACCCAAAGAAAGCTCACTTTAACCTGACGCAAAAAAGAGGATGTTCAAACCAACCCAAAGGGTAAACTCCGGGATATGTTTCAAAATCGGGGGGGGACCCCCAAACTGCTGGGTTTCCTGACGCTGAAACATCGGACCTTTTGGGACCGAAGCAAACCGAAGCAAACCGAAGCAAACCGCCGGGGGCGCGATGGGCTTTGGCCGGTCCACAAAGCCCAGGATCATGTCCAGGGGAGCCGCCTCGAAGGAGTTGCGAACTTCTGGGTTCAAGTGCCAAAAGAAAGAGCTACATTGAGGGGCGTTGCTCGGTTTGTAGACATTCAGAAACAGGGCAACTTTTAGTTAAAAGGAGCCGGAAACCTAATGTACTTGCTCGACCCTGCTTAGCAAAGCAAGCTATCGGAAACTGCGTCAAACATCCGCCAAAAGAAGGGGATTTGGTCTCACTTCAAGAAAGGGGATGGGCCGAAAAACCTCCTGGAACTTTTTGTCTACCACCCAAATGGTCCCAACCCAAAAAGTATCAAGTCCAGGAACTCGGGAAGTGAGTGGTAGAAAACGGCTTTTTTTAGAGCCCTCTGACGGGGAACTAGAATGGGGTCAATGCTTGGAATCTTGCAAACAGTACCTAGGTCCTCCAGTAGAGAGGTTAGAATGAGGTTAGAATAAGCGGGCCCAAATGACCCCAGACTTCAAATCAATGGGTCTGGGGACCCTGGCGGAGGGGAACCAAATGCTTGGAATCCTGAGGTTCCGACAAAAGGCCCATCCACAGTGATCCACAGGTGCTAAGAGGCAACATGTTAGCAACTATCTAGCCCCGTGCAACAATTTGGAGCCAGGAGTTCAACAAACCTACGGTTACATGTCCCATCCGGGTCGGCCGAAATGCATCCCAGCCTTTCTGCGAGACCAAAAAACGCGCGGGACCAATCAAAGGAAGGGCAAAGGTTGATTTGGTGGGTCCAAATCAAAAACCATCAACCTTTGTGTCTTTGGCTTTGTTTGGTGTGTCGCTTTGAGTACGGGGCTCCTTAAACATCACCCCACTTAAGGGAAACTCGAGTTCCATGCGCCCAAAAGGTGATGTTTCGAATTCCGAAGGGAAATATCCAGCACCCTCCAACTGCCTTTTCCCATCAAGGGATGCTTGGACAGTACTTTTTGAGGCTGGGCACCCTTTCCGGGGTTTGTGAAGAGCGAAACCAAACGAAAATCCATCGTAGGGGTCCCCCTGCTTTGCACCCAAAATGGGTCAGTCCGAGTTTTGGGCCCCAAGTCCTCTTGATTCGAATTTAGGTCTACGAAGCAAACAGAAACCGGAAAGTGAGCCAACCGGGACACCTGAAACATGGCTCCAGCCTGGTCTGATTGAGGTCAATATCTGGCTGTGGCTCAGAAAATGGTACCCCAAAAAATGGAAACAAGGACCAAAACCTGCGTAACCCTGACTCTTGAGTTTTGAGCCACAGCAATCTAGTTTAGGGCATCCACCGTACTGGACTGGAGCAGTGTTGGGTCCCGGGTGCCGGATAGGGAGCACTTGCATAATCATGGCTTGTGGGCTACCTCAAGACCAAAGTTAGTGAAAGATCAGGAAATCTTCTGAAAACGGACCTGCATCATGGTGAACCCATAGGTGTCCTTTGTGGAAAATAGATGGCCCTGGTAGCTGATTGAGCCACCAGGTAAACCAGGGAGAAGCTTCTATTTTTGAAGCAAAGCAACCAAAAAGGACACCTATGGGTGAGTTCAGGGTACCAACCTTTTTCTGCAGCCTATTTTAGTAGGGGGTTTCCCCTCCCAACCAAAAAAGAAAGGGGTGAGAAAGGGCACCTAGCTGACCGAGTTCTGCAAACAGAGCTGCATGGTGAGCTCTTTGCCCCCCGAAGCTCACCCATCCCAAAGCGGAGGCAAAGCGGCGCTCAACCCCACGCCGCCGAAGATGGACAGGAAGAACCTGAAGCCGCCGCAGTTTGCAGGGCTTCTTCCATTTGGTGAAGGCCCCAGGAAAAAATGAACATATCTCCAGTAGTGATGAGTTCCTTTAAACCCAAGGGAAAATCGATGAAAAATCATAATGGTCTTCAGCAAATGGAGGGTTTTAAGCTCCTTCCAGAAGCGCAAGGACACTCACCCTCAAAACAAAAATCCGCCTGTCCAAGGTGCGGGCCAGCCAAGAAAGCACAGCACGGAGACGATGTAGATCTGAAAGCCCACCTCGCAGTTGCTGGGAAAAATGAGGCACCAGGAAAAGGCCCCAGGAAAAAAACATCCAGTAGTGGTGAATTCCTTTTAAAACCGGTAACCAACAAGGGAAAATAATAATAATAAAAAGAAAGATATTCTTAAGCAAATGGATATATACATCACAAACCGCACTTAGGGAATCCCCAGGTCAAGGAAGGGACCGTATTGGGGAGCTCGTCGGATTCAGTTCGGGTGGGGTTCCTGTTGGATTCCTTTGAAATGGACCAATGGGTTCCTGGTTTTGAGCTAAGTACGCGCATCACAGCCTCTTCTTTTCCCATCGATGACCTTGAATCCACGATGATTTCCAGCAGGCTCAACGCACGACCGCTTGGGACAGCATTGAATGTAGCCACACTATGGACGATGCACAGCGCATCTTCCCTTAGCATCTACAACACGTCTTGTCAAAGGGTAACTTAAGGGGTAGGGATGCAGTCGCGTCTCGCCTGAAGATCACTAGGTGCAAATATTTTTGTTGAGGCGACCTTCCCACCAACCAGCATGTTCACCCACCAAAAGGTGCCAAGTTGGGAGAAAACAAAACCGAGTTGAATGGCCAGAACCAGTCAACCAACTTGTTGCCTCATCCCAGAACTACCTGCTTAAGGGGATCCTCTAAATCAGCTTCTTTCTGCTTGGCCACACATGGTATCCTTTGAGGAATTCCATCCCCCCGCCCCCTCCGGGCCCCACTCCCCTCCCTCCTGTCTCCGGCCCTCCCCCCTGTCTCCGGCCCCCCCCCCCCTCTCCGGCCCCCTCTCCCCAGACACCTCCCCCCATCTCCGGGCCCCCCCAAACCCCCCCCCCCCCCACCACGCCTGGACCTCCATCTCTCTGGCGACGCCCACGCCACAGACCAGCGCCAGGTTCATCGAGTCCCCGCTCTGCCACTCCTATCGAACGGATCGACGTCTCCATTGGACGAAACCCAAATTATTGGCCCACAAAAAACCGCACACGAAAAACAAAAGGGATGTTGCTTCATGTTGGCCTCACTTGGAAAATGAGATGTTCTGTGATGTCGAGACCAACAAATGCGCCTGCTAACCTAGAACACTAGGTTTTTGGAGGGGGTTAACCACAGTTCAAGAGGATCCGTATCAGTTTGAGACTCGGCCAGGCCCTTGAACTCCAAGTACAGGCCCCTTTGTCCGTGGCTTCTTTTTCAAGAACCCAGGCCAATACAAATCAAACAATCACAATGAGTATTCCAGTAGCCCAGGCCAATATATAAACAACCCCCATAATATGAGTATTCCAGTAAGTTGGATTTGTTTTACCATCGCGCCTCGCAGGTATAGGACACCACAGGGATGGCAGCCTAGAGATGGGTCGCGATCCCGCTTCTCTTTTGCCGTTGCCCTTGTTCCTCCCAAAAATTTTGGGTTCAAAACTACAAACTGAGGCACACCCATGAGATGCTTAGGGGAAACCAAAGGGAAGCCCTCCCAAACATTGGAGTAAATCGTTTTTTGGTGGGTGGCCGGATGGCCGGGCCGGCCCGACCGGAAGCCGGAGGCCGGATACAACGGCATTGTGAAACATTGGGGTCCAAGTCCGATTTTTAGGGGCTGGTTCGTGCGCTGAGAGTCCGGACCAGCCGGACAACTCCAAAAAACTGCTCAGAGTCTGTAACTCATAGTTCTCGGGGCTGATTCCTTGTCATTATGTTCAACCATCGTTCGCTTCAAAAACCAGCCATTTCGCAAGGGTTTTTGGTGGTTTTCTAGAAAGAAGGATCCCTGGAAAGAACGGGGAAGTTACCCCTAGAATAGTGTGCAACTTGCCGTCATATCCTATCACAGGAGCCTACCCAAAATCAAACGAGATATTGTATATTCGGGCTTTCTGATGCCAAAAACAACTACCCTCTTTTTGTAGGGTGCACATACTTTGCCCCTCTTGAACATGGCGATCCCATCTTGAATATGGCGATGCTTTCCGACTAAAAAACCCAATTCACAAACTGGACATCAGGAATCCGCTTGCCCAGAAAGCTTCGCTAGTTGAACTGATTGATCGGTGGTGACCCGGCGGATGCTGTGTGGGAATAGGTTGTCTTTGGGGTAGATAGACTCAACCTCAGGCCTACCCTAAGCCGTCAACTCAGTGATTAGGATAGGTTCACTGACTTTAGGAGAGCATGGTGAGCCTAGGGTTCTGGGAATGAACCTAGCTCTTTGTATGGATTAAATTCCAAAGGGATGGTTCTCGTGATCATTCCAACTCCTTCCCGCCGAAAAGCAGCAAGACCCTAGCATAGATAGACTGACTCAGAATTCCAACCTTAAACAAGTCTATCAGAAGTTCCCAACCTTGAAGTTCTACCTACAAGTCCAAAGCTCCCTCCCAAAAAGAAGAAGAAGCCGGTAGCTGGACTTTCAGGTAATAAAACAAGGCCCACCACGGATCTTTGTCTCGCTCGAGTGCGCGTTTTCGTAAGCCCGGCTCTCGGCTCTCGGCAACCTTCTCTCGCCTTGGAGAGGAAGGGGAAGCTGATGGCCAGGATGGCGGCCTGAGCCAAAACTCTATCTCTGTTTGGCCGATTGGGTCATGGGATCCTTTAGAAAATCATGAGAATGGACCAGGTGCCAAAGCTCCCTTTGTTTGGCCGATTGGGTCAGATATTTTGTAGGAATCATTCGTTAGGTCAGCCCAAAAACGGGAAAACCCCAAAAAGGAAGGCCTCCAGGCCTCAGCAGCAGCACTGTGCTGAAGCAAAAGCAACAACATTCGTTCTTATCGTCAAGAACTCAAGCTGCAGCAATCTTCCACCTCCATTGCAACAAGACTTGCGAACAAACCGCTCCCACTCTTTTCACCCAAGCTCCACGGCACCACAGCGAAGTAAATTATACCAAGACCTTGGCGGCACCTGTGCGTCCACAAAAGCCTCGATGGTATAAAAAGAATCAATGCCAGCAAAAACCCGATCCCTGGAAGGTTGCGAGAGCTCGGGCAAAAACTGCAGGGCACTGACTTCTTGAATGTAGATCTCCATGGTCCTTGCAACCAGCCATCTGCCGCGCCTGCGGACCAGCTCACTATTCTCGCACGCCATGAGGAGCCATGTTGCCCCGCCAGCACGTAAAGAGCCAAGGTCAAGTTCCCTGATATTTGGCACATGTCTCTTATCTTGACCTAAAACGTGAGCGGAGCGTCTGAGCTGACCCCAACCACAGTGGGGCAGAATGCGGAAGCTGAGCAAAAACCGCGGAGATGACCCTCAGCAAATCCGGTTGATTGATCCGCGCGACCTGGTGGTGAGCAGCTCTGTACCTTGTCTTGGGCTCGCTGATTGAAACCAGTGCAAAAGCAACCGTGTGGCACACATCGCAGGGAAGCACAAGCTGCTTCTTGTAGCTCCAAGGACCTCACCAATCCTCATGATACCGCCCCATGCCAATGCAATGGTACCTGCTACACGAGGCCAACCCCACAGTAAGGCAGTCGAAATGACGCAAGAAGGATCTGCCAGCAGGGCATTGCTGTGTGATGTGTCAAAGGCTCCTCCCTCAACCAGGCAAAAGCAAGATCCCATGCCGCCTGCAAGGACCTGCGAGCTCTTGGCCTGATAGCTGCAATTGCATTGATGGTTTCAGAGTAATACTGTTGCAAACGCTTGTTCAGCTCATCGATGTCAAAAACCTGTGGACCCAATCAGCGTCTCAAAAGAAGTTCCTTGCTGCACCAAGCAATCAGCGAAAAGCCTAATGAGGCGGTCGCGTGCTTTCTGTGTGGCAGCTTCAGCGGGCCGCCCCTCTGCAAGTGTCAACGAGCCACGTGCGGCCTGCCTATTCAATTCAGAGCGATGTGCCATGGCAGGGGACAACCTTGACCGACCACCAAAAACCAGACCAGCCTTGCTCGCTGACAAAGGGACCTTCGCCAGGAAAGCCAAGCGTGGAGTCGAAATCCACAGCGCCAAAAGGGAAAGCCCGACAGGCGCAGTGAGAATAACCCCAAGCACACGCTCTTGCCAGAGAGGCGGAGCACAAGGCGAGCCCAATTCGAAGCCCACACTTCCAGCTTGAGAAGGCCATAGAGCAACCGGGGGCACGCATAGTCCCGGGTCGGACAATCGGCAGGGTGTAGCCTGGTAGGGCAGAAATGCAGAGCATGGTGAATGCCACCAGCAAGAGACATGGCTGCGCAACGGAGAAAGGCCAAAGGAAGGAGATCGACCCTTCATGATAGAGTGCAGAGCGACAGCGGAATCGACCAAGCAGACAAGCCGACAGGGGCCACGCGAGCGAAGTACATCCTTGAGGAGCCGGTACACCGCAGCAACCTCAACAATGTTAATGTGAGAGAAAGACCTCCAGCTCCAAGCGACAGGGTCGCGCCACGTGGCACACTCATTTACCAAAGGGCTCTCAAAACCCGACACGTCAAAATCATGATGCGCTTCAACAGAGAACTTGCGCCTGAGAGCCTGAGAGAACTCATAGGCAAGGGCAGTGGCAAGGCCAGGAGTATAAACCGCAGAGGGCTTGGGTGTGTGCGCCCTCAATCTTGAGATGCTGGTGATCACGCGTACAGGGAAGGCAAAGACCACTGAAATTAGCATTCGCGGAAAGAAAGCGGAACTCTTTTTGGTGCGGAGAGCCAAAGGAGCGAGAGGCAATGGGTCTCAAAGACCTTGGGCATCTCGAGAAGCCGACGCCACTCCGGCATCCAACACATCTTTGACCTGCGAGGCTGCTCCAAACACCAAGGGCCCGGCTCAAAAACAAAACAAAGAGAGAGCGGAGGGCAAGAACAGTGCCATTCAAAGTACGGGGCTCAGTAGGATCAAAGCCGCGCGTGAGCTCATAGGACCAAAGGGCTGGGTAAGCCGCAGGCGAAAACGTTGTACAAGGAGGTTCAATCATCCTAACTAAAAGCAAGGGGGCGCTGAGGACCAGGAGGATCAAACAAACCTAGGCGAAGGTCGAAGTCCTCTGAACCACCCTTTGCAAGGACAGCCTCCTCCTTTGACAAAAGCCTGGAGTAGCCTCCTTTCCTATCAGCCGAGCGCCACAACGCGCGAGTAAGATCCGAGCTACAGCTTGCATGAAGGTAGGCACCTTTCTCCTCAGAGGCATCGCTTGCGAAGATGCCCTCATGAAAAGGCGCCGAGATGTCTGAGCAGGCAAGGGGAGCCAGAACGGCTAGAAGGCAGAGCTCATCAGCAACTTTCCGAGGCAGGCCAATGATGTTTGGGTGCTCGCTATCAACTCCGACTGCATCAACGAGAGCAAAGGAGCGACTCAAGATGGACATGAGTGCAGAAGTCCAACCACCGATGAAGAGCATCTGTGGTACAAGGAAGCTTTGCAAACTCAAGGGACAAAGGCCCAAGACAGCCGCTTGTCACGGAGCAGCAATGGTTGCAACACCGCGATCGAGATTCCAGCAGCGCTGCATCAACCTCGGCGCAAGCAAGTTTGGCCACGGGCTCCCCAACAACATCCTTTTCGCAGTGTCACGCCAGGCAAGCCTATCCCGAGGTTCTCCTGACACGGTACTGAAGTCATCAATGCCGAGGCCTTGGCAACTGGAGGACCCTCAGCAGAGCTTGGGAGAAGGCCAGCAGAGCACACTTGCTGAAACTGGTGGTAGAAGTCCTTCCGATCAGTGACAGAGGAAAGGAGGCATTGGGACCGTGGATCAACCTCAAGCATGGTCAGCAAATGGATCTGTGGGAGGAAGTGAGAGGGCCCAAGAAGCCGGCCTTCAGCAGAATTCCTGCCACGCCTGTCCCCAATCTGCCTGCCCTTTTCTTTGGACTTGAAGCAGTTGAACACCCGGCTCAACGTAAAAGCCCGGTCAGCGGGGGAAAGGGTCAGAAGACAGACACGGGCAAGCTTGACCACCCACCATAGCTCACGACGCCAGTCAGGCACAGCCTCAGAAGGGGGACAGAACCAGTGAGCAGCGAGTCGGGCTCGACATACGCCATGCGCAGCGCGTCGTCCAACTAATCAACAGGGTCCCAATGCCCAAGACCAGACAACTTCAACCTGCCAGCATCCAAAGAACGGTAAGGCTTGAGCTCATCCTTTGCATCATTGTCAACAGGGACAACCCCTTCAAGCTTGGTGTGGGAGCCAGAGAGCGCACCAGCATGAGTAAGGAAGTCCGACAACTCCGATAACCTTGCAACTAATTGAGGATTGCAGGCACCTCCTGCGCCTTGCAAAAGACCCCATCACGGGGAACAGGCAGAGGATAGATTGATGGGTCAGGGGAGCGGAGCTCAACCCTGGACAGATGCAGAGAAAGCAAAAAGTGCGCAAAAGGGGCACGACATTGCGACACATTGGTAACAAGCGTACCGCACCAGGTAGAAAAGGGGGGCCCCCTTGATGTAGAGGTCCTCCCGGGTATGCGACAAAGGCCCATCAGGGGCAGGGGTCCCCCGGTCGATTAGAGCCTGCGAGTATTGCCACGGTTGAGGCGCCAAAGCGGCAAAGGCCCGCATGTGTGGGTTTGCGCCTTGATGCCTGGACCCGAAAAGCTGACGCGGGGGGTCCTGCAACAACGTCATGAGATAAGCAAGGTCCACTTGTTGTTGTCGAGGACGCTTTGCTCGCACGCAGCAAGGGTGAGAGCCATGCTCCTGAGCGCCAACGTTTTTCCCCAGCCACGAAGCAGTCGGCCACATGGGCTAAGCACCACATCACTAGACCCATCTCCCTGCTGGTCCACCAAACCTTTCCAGGTAAGTGCACAGGGACACGCGGCCTTGCAGCTCGCCCAGAGTTGAAGGCAGAAGCTCTGAGGGCCGGAGACGACGGTGCGCAGCCCGCATAACCTGCAAAAAGAAACCCCCTGACCGAGCGGCGAGTTCCGACTGGAGCCTCTCGCGCTTTGTGGATCCTCGAGAACCCAGGGAGGTGAGGCCGGTCTGAGACAGATTCGAAAGAGAGTCCCCCTCACACACCAGGTGATTGACCAAAAGAGTCATGGCTTGCAACTCCTGCAAGATGGCTCGCTTGAACGCCAGGACCAGCAAACTGGCCCACAGGCGATGCTTTCACCTGATTCCCAACAGGCAGGAAGGGCCGCTGGTGGGTCGGCGGATCGCGGGCGGGGCGACGGGAGCTGCGGGGCTGGGCCCTGCTCCAAGAAAACCTGTCGCTCCCTGATCTGGTTGAGTTGGGCCTGAATGCCAGGGAGGGCCTCGGCAAGGGCTGAAAGCTGCTCTGTTAGAGCAGTGGTGGGGCGCTTTGCCTTGGGAGCGACTGGCTTGGGCTTGGTAGACTGAGCAGGAGGGTTCTGGGGGGATCCTCCTCAGCCTGAGCCGAGAAAAAGGCAATCCGCTCCCCTTGCTCCAAAGCAACCCACTTGTTTGCAGCTGCCAAAAGATCCTCCGGAGAGGGATAGGCATCGGGGTTTAGGCATCGGGGTTTCTCTGCAAGAAGGGAACTGGTTCGGAGGGGCGCTCGAGAGCGCAGTCCACTTCTGAAAGGCAGAAACAGATCTCCTTGGAGCAATCGACCAAAAGGACAACAAGGTGGTCGGTCCCAAGCAAGCCCTCCGCACCCCCCTTGTCGAGCTCGACGCCGGGGACGTTCAGTAGATTTCCTTCCTCCAACTCCTGCGGAGACAGGAAGTTCTCTGGGATTGCAAGCATCAAACCATCCCGACGCTTCAAAACTGGAATGGCATAGG